AAATAAAATTTAGTGAGAGTGTATGTATGAAAGTGTGGGGAGAATGTTAGAGTAAATGAAAGCTATAGGGAGGGGTAACAGACGAGAGAAGAACAGGAAGGTCTAAAGATGAAGGCCGTAAGTAAAATTTAACAGAGAGAAGTTTTAAAGAGGGGAGTCAAAGACGGTTTAAGTGAGAGAAATATGAATGTTGTCGGATGTCTAATACATTAAAGATGTACCCGGAAAGGATTCATTTTGTGGTGACATACACACACAATAGACGATCTAATCTTAAAGATCAGAAGAAGAGGGAGGGAGAGGAAAAGAAAAAAAAAGGGGTGGGGGGAAGAGATGGGGCAGGAGGAACTAAAACCGAAGGGCATTTATAAAAGGGCTGCTGTGTAATTAAGAAAATTTGACAAAATTAATATCGACTACAGGTTACAAATCAAATATAAACATAAAAAAAAACAAATATAATGATTATCTAATCAAGCAAGGAGCTATATTTCTATGTTCAAAAACACATGCGTACACACACACACACACACACACACACACACACACACACATATATATATATATATATATATATATATATATATATATATATATATATATATATATATATATATATCGACGACGATCGTAATGATGACACCTTTGGGAAGTACCTCAAACTATACGTCCTGTTGATCCAAGGATTATTAGTGAAATTGAGTCGGCGAATCTATTCGAATGAAACCGTCGATAATTGCGCTAAAACGAAGTCACAAGACATCGTAGCCGATTGTTTGAGATTACTGACCTTATTCAAGTACTGATTAGGTTTCAATATGAAGTCTCTCTGGGAAACGGTATCTATCTCTTCTCAGCATAGTTGCTGTACAAACAACAAATTGGCCCTCAGGATGTTGAAGAAACACAAAAACAGGTATCTGCAACAGATATTAACTAGCCACTATATTAGAATGGAAAATAAGTAAGTTGACATTATATATATATATATATATATATATATATATAGTAATTCCCTATGTATAATTCGCATTTTTTGTAAAAAATGATAAGCAAAATTAGGGGTGTGTATTATGCAGAGCTACAAAAATATCTTTAAAAATTGCCGTTTCATAGGTCGATTTCAGTTACGAAATGACTACTGACCACAAACATACGACAATTTGACACTAACATTCGGCGATTGCGACCCCATAAGGACTTCGAATATAATCATATGTACCTAAAAATACTTACAAATGTAAAATAAAATAAGAATTAACATAAAACTAAATTAGAATAATATTATTCTATGCTTAAAATCATTTTTTTTAAATAAGAGTAGGAAACGCTGTCCGTAATGAATTTAGAGAGGTAAAATTTATAGGGTTTTATTACCAAAAAGGGGTGCATATTATACGTGAGTAGAAGCATTTTCCCACAGATTTAGCACAGTTTTAGGTGTTTAGTATTATGAGTGAATGCGTATTATACACGGGGAATTACGGTGTATGTCTGTGTGTCTATGTGTTTCTGTTTTTTCACTCATGGAGCGTTCCTTCATGAATCCATCTTTGAATTAAGTCTTAAAGAAGAAATATTAAAAATGTAAATGGAAGGATTAAGTGAAGCTAAAATTAAAACTAATGATATTTTCAGGAATTCCACTTTCTTTATTAATAAAACTAATTTAGTGATTAACGCATGAAATTATTGTCGAAAGATTTTTGATCGAGCGCTTTCGTTTATTGGGTTAGCCATCATTGTTTAGTCACTTGCATGAAATCGGGATTAAATAAAACTAAAACTAAAAACTCCTGAATTTGATACATAAGTAAAGATCGAGAAAATTATTCCTCCCTTTAAAATCTGCATTCGAATCACTTACTCTTTCCTGGACTCGAACGATTATTCATATCACTGAATATACAAGAGCATCACTATGAACATATACAAGGCCATCAGATATCATAAGATAGTTGGTGTAGCAAATGCATCTTTCGTCATAGCTTCTGGTCTGGTTTAGTTTGGTTTGTTTTGCTTTCCGGCATATCAACCTCAATGGGTTATTTAAAGCCGACAAGATTTTTATTGTTGGTAATATTTTTTCAAAAAAAAAAAAAACATATTTTTTTCCAAAATGTATTGCTGATAATAACGTATTTCTGGAAATAATTTTTTCTTCAAAAATGTGTTGCTAGTAATATTTCTTTTAAATGTATTGCAGGTAATAATTTTTTTTGTAAAAAAATTCATTGGTGGTAATAATTTTTTACAAAAATGTATTGCTGTATTAAAACATATTTTTACACTTTCATATTGTTTTTACCCCAATTTGGGGGTTAACTATTTGCCCACAGTTGGGACCCTAACAGGTGCTACCACCCCGGGTCAAGGTGGACCTGGGAACACCAGCAATTAAGATATGGTTCCACGCTCCTCAAAGCCCCTTAGAGGCCTTGTTGTTGGATGTAGATTATCGTCTTACCCAGAACTCATATCATCTGTAATTTCAAGTTAAATATTTTGCGAGTTGCTCATCTCTCTGAATAAAATAAGATAGTAATATTTTTCCTGATCCTTAGGAATCTCTAACCTAACTGATTTCTTTTTTTTTTTTTTTTTTTTAAACAAATGTGTCACTCCTGTGACGAGAATTGATCAGTTTAATGTTTTGGAAAGAGCAGAAGAGATTCATCCATTTCTTTTCTTTAAAAAGTCAACAGACAGGAATCTGAACTCGATCTCTTTTTCAGTAAAGGTTAATTATTAGGCCGTTTTCACCCAGGAGCCTTCTCTCTCAATGTGTGCTTTTGTCTGAGCAAGTAAGATAAAGAGAGAGGAAAGAGAAAATGAGTAATAGGGAGAGAGAATAAATTGTGTGGATAGGTGGATACGAGGAAGAGTAAAAAGAAAGAGTGAAAGAAGAGAAAAACAGAAAAGAAGTTTCGAAGGAGGAGGAGTAATTTAGAGTTTAAAGAGAAAGAAGAAAAGAGAGGAAGTTGTGCGAGTAAGAGAAAATAAAGGACAAAGGAGAAAGAGAGAAAACAAAAGGAAATTGTGCGGTTAAAAGAAAAAGAGGAAAAAGACCGACAAAGAGAGAAAGAGGGATATAAAGGACGTTGTGCAGGTACAAAGAAAGAGGAAGAAAAAGAGGAAAGTAGAAAGAAGAAAAAGAGGGAAAGAAAGAAGTTGTGCGGATAAAAGAAAAAGAGGAAGAAGGAGAAAAAGAAAAAGGGGGAAGGGAAAGGAAATGTGTGGATAAAAGAAGAGGAAAAGCACTGACAATGAGAGAGAGAGAGAGAGAGAGAAGAGAAAGAAAAAAAGAAAGGAAATAGTCTGGATACAGAGAAAGAAGAAGAAACAGTAAGAAAGGGGATTGAGCGGATGAAATAAAAAAAGAAGAAGAAAGAGAAAAAGAAAGAGAGAAACAGATATTTTTCAAGATCATATTGCCCTGCAAAGACGAGATTTTGTCCATTATTCGGACTATTGTCCTCATCTTTTTCGCCATGTTTATTACAACGTTTCGGCCGTTGTACGCTCCGGCCTTCTTCAGGTGGTTGGAATGTCGAACTGAACCCTTTATTTCACTCACTGGGGTAGACTGTTCTAGTTCCACGTGCCATGTTTGATGGATGTCAGTTATCAGTTATCTCCCGTTAATTTCCCTCTGAAAGTTCTCCACTGCCTTAACCGGGTATTGAACTCACACTCTTTGGGTTCTGTCACTGGATCTAACCAACGCCTTTATTCACTGTGCCATGTGTTCTTGAGATAACTGTTAACTGATATCCATCAAACATGGCATGTGGAACTAGAACAGTCTCCCCCAGTGAGCGAAATAAAGGGTTCAGTTCGACATTCCAACCACCTGAAGAAGGCCGGAGCGTACAACGGCCGAAACGTTGTAATAAATATGGCGACAAAGATGAGGACAATAGTCAGAATAATGTAAATAATGTACATAATACCTCATGTCAGAAATATATAAAGATAATTATCTACGAGATTTTGTATTAAAATATCTGGCTACTGGATATGGAGTCATACTCTTCCACACCATATAAGGATGGCATAAGTTTTCGCCTCTGCCGGAATTCGGACCTCAATCGCTGATTCCATATTTTGGGCAAGCACCCATTACGTTATCTCGCACAATTCCATATAAATAACCACTATTCCTCCAATTTACCCCGCTTTACGATCAAATCTAATCTCCCAGACATTGTGACCAAAGACCACAAAAATGTCATTTGTTAAGTCTCGACTTACGAAGATTGCCATGAAAATCCGCATAGAAATTTGGATTTAAACTTATTGCTTTAATTCGATCTCAGTTTGATTCCTTCTGTTATCCACCAAATCTAAGTACATATCCAAAATAGTTGAGCCTGTTAGGCTAAAGGCCAAAATTATGTGAGCATTCAACTTAAAAGTGAGAATAGAATCTTCTTGCATTACGTGTGGGTTTGCTCTAGTAGAAATTTACAGATGATTAGGTCACGGATATATCTCAACATTTAAAACACGAATTCGAATATCAATGTGCCCGCTAGAGTACACCTTTGTTTTCTATATGTGTGTGGATCTATAAAAGTGTATAGGCGAAGAAACAATACCAGGTAGTTTATCCAGACCGAACAGTCTGATGGTGAGATGTGGTGGTCGATCAGAGACGTAAACGAGGAGGAAGAGGAAGAAACGGCGGAGTTGGCGGTGTTGTGGTAGCATTATGGGTGAGAAGAAGTCCGTTCCTGCCATCGTGGAGCATGCCGGCATGGTTTTCCTCTAGGTTTTATTATTAGGCACAACGGTACTCTGTTGAAGGCAGGAAGCACTCACCAGGGACTAAATATAGGGCCAGACCGTTTATTTCTGTTTACTGGTGGCGACGGGTGGGCCATCACCCAACAATTTTCCCCAGCTTATTCCCAAACCTGATGTTCTCACACCTCCCAGACAACTACGACCCACAAGCACAGCAACAGTTATGGACACTCTCACAACTTTCCTTTTAGGCGTGTCTTATTTTTGCTTTACTTTCTCTATGTTCTTCCTCATTCTCTCTCATATGCACGATTTCCTTTGCCTTCTTTTATCTTTTCTCTTTTATGCCAACGACATCAATCTCATCCTCTCTTTTTCTTTTTCCTTTTCTTTCGAATATTTCTCTCTAATTTTCTTTATTATTCTTTTGCGAGAAAGAAATGCTATTTTGTCTCCTTTATTTTGTTCTCTACTTTTCTTTCTCTTTCCTTTTACTCATTTTCTTTCTCCCGCACAAACATTTCTCTTATTTCTATTCCTCTTCTTCTCTTAACTTTTGACCTTTGTTCTTTCACTCCTAATTTTTTACTCCCTCCTCACCTCTCCTTCTCTCTATTCCTCCTCTCTTTCTGTCACTAACACAATTTTTATTCTCGCACTATTCTTCATTTCTGACCTCTTTCTCCTTCCACTTTTTCTTTCATCCACACAGTTTTCTCCCTCATACCTTCTTTCTTTTTTTCTTCTTCTTCTTTGACCCAATTTTCTTTCTTTTCTTCTATTTCTATTTTTGTCTCTTTTCTTTTTTTTTTCATTAACCAGCCCTGATCCTTTTTCGCTTTCCTTTTTTTTCTTCCTTTTTCTTTAATACGCGCAATTTTCTTTCTATCCTTTCCCAATTTCTTTTGTTTTTTCATTCACTCTCATATTTTCTTTCGGTACTGTTTTAATGGAACAAAAATAGAATGTAATGGGGCATTATATTCCATTTTGTTTCTATTAAAATACTTCTGTTTCACTCTTTTATTTCTCTATATATCTATCCGTCTGGCTTTCTTCCTGTCACCATATATATATATATATATATATATATATATATATATATATATATATATATATATATATACTTTTTTGTTATTTTTCTTTGCTTTCCGCACTGTGGTGTCTTTCGCGCATAAAGGAGAATTAGCGCGAAGAGGAATAATAATAGTAGTAGTAGTAGTAGTAGTAATAATAACAATAATAATAATAATGGTAACAATAATAATAATAAATATCCAGAAACAATTGACCATTTTATATCATATTGCACAGTGTTAGCACCAACTAAATATAAAACTCGGCATGATAAAGTGGACCAATATTTGCAGTGGAAAATATGCCACGTTTACAGAAAGGAAACTGGCATGATCATCACCCAGGCCCGGTTACAGACATAGGACCTGTAACATTTTTAGGGGAGTTTACCATACACACAGACAGAACGATCAAATCTAATTTCCCAGACATTGTGACCAAACATCACAAAAACAGATTCTGCCTTCTTATTGACATGGCAGTCATTGCAGATTGTAACGTATCTTCGAAGATTTCAAAGAACTATCAAAATACAAGGATCTTGAAATCAAAATCTCAGAAATGTGGCACGGGGACATTACCAATTTCAGTTGTAGTTGAGAGTCCTCGGATTTATTGGAAAAGGTTCAGATAGACACATGGAAGGGATTCCTGGTAGCCCATGCCTTAAAGAAATACAAAAAAAAAAGTAATCACAAGTACAGCTTACACCTTATGAACGGCAATGTAAAATGTATGTGCTCTTAGAGTTTTTTCCTTAAAAAAATGCACAGTGTAAAATGACATGATGCCATTTTTGACCTTAGGTCTCTGGTTGGGAGCCGCAAAAAATGACTATACACCAGAAATCAAAGAAAATAAAGTCATAATAACATACCAGACGCAGGTCATCAGAATTAATGAATTCAAGACCAGGATAGATAGATCTCAAGAAGAAATCAAATGTAGGATGTGTGGGCAAGCGGATGGGGCAGTTAACTTCATACTCACTGAAAGTCTCAAGTTGTAACCGAAGGAGAGATTACATGATTGGATTGGTAAGAGTATCCATTGGGAAGTATGGCAGAAGTTTATAAAAGAGAAATGATATGAACATCAGCCAGAGGCAGTTGGAGAAAATGACTGTCGCAATATATGGGATTTCATTGTCCAGGTACATCATGTCATTGAAGCATGCAGAGCCGATCTCATGGTTATGGATGAGGAGAATAGCAAGTTTCAAATTATTGACTTTTATGTTCCATAGGATACAAGAGTGGACTCCAAAGAAAGTGAAATGTTTGAAAATCTACCAGGATCTGTCTAGAGAGCTCAAGAAGTTATGAGAACATTAATGTACAACGAATTCATGTTGTAATGGAGCGTTTGAAACAACGCCTAGAAAACTGAAAAAAAAACTCTTAAGGAGAATTAGAATTTAAAACCAAGATTGCAGATCACCAAAAAACAGCCATCATTTAGTCTGCGAGGATTCTCTGAAAAGTTCTTGAGTTGCGAGGACTCTTGTTGATTCCCTGTCTCATGAACAGAATGTCCATGGAAATGGTGTTGATGCGCAATGCCAACATAATAATGTACCAAGTCCTGCAAGGTGAAATCAGAGAATTGTGTCAAGCAACGGTTCAGGATATTTCGTTTGTAGCTGGCGAACCTGTGACTATTTCCAAGAAACTTTCAACCTCGCAAAACGGCTTGGGAATACCAGGTAACATAGAGAATAGGCAGGTGACAGCGCTGCTCGTAACATCTCATTTAATAAGAAACACGTCGGTCTCTAAACCACAGGCAAGAGTCGAGATATGACCATCATCCTCCGGTTGAAACATATAATAGTCGGAGAGGATATCAATAATAATAATAATAGTAATAATAATTATACAGACAGAAAAATCAAATCTAATCGCCCAGACATTCTTATAAGAGACCACAAACAAAATAATTATCTCCTTATTGATATGGAAATCCCCACAGACTGCAATATATCTTTGAAGACCATCAAAAGACTATTAAAATACAAGGACCTTGAAATTGAAATTTCAAAAATATGGCACAAAAAAGCATGAACAATTTCAATTGGTTGAGACAAAATGGGTTCAAGAAACTTCCATGGCCAAGTCAGTCCCCGGATATTAACCCTTTTGAACACCTTTGGGGCACATTAGATTGAAAACTCCGCAAAAGGAACAGGAAGCCATCTTCTAAGTCCAAACTTTTAGGATTATTGCGTCAAACATGGCAAGAAATCCCTCAAGGTGATATTCGTGAACTCATTGCTAGCATGGCTAGAAGGGTCCTTGCATTTAAAAAAGCAAAAGGGATGTCAACCAAGTATTAGTTATTAAATTTATGACCATTTATAATTACTTCATTTGTATAAATTACTTGTTTAATAAAATAAATGTTTTCTGTGAGCGTCTATTCAATTCTGTCATGTCTGTGTATATTAATACTTTACATATCTATGTCTGTGTGTGGGTGTAAGGGTGTATAGACCAAATATTTTTACTTTTGTGTTGCTTGATTCTGATTGGTTAATCATGTTTCACATGCATTCGGCTTGGTAAAGTAACGTTAGTATAATTTGTGGTGTTTCGAATTCAAGGAAAGACGACGCGCCCATCCGAAGTTTGAAGAATATGTATATATGTATGTATGTATTCTCTGCATTAATCTGTTAAACCTCATGTGATATACCTTGAAACTTCAAAATATTCTTCTATTCTTCTCTTTTCTTATTGACTTTGTCCCTTCAAATCTTTCTCTCGACATTCCATCCATCTGAAGAAGGCCGGAGCGTACAACGGCCGAAACATTGTAATAAATATGGCGACAAAAATGAGGACAATAGTCTGAATAATGTAAATAGTGTACATAATACCTCATCTCAGAAATATAGACAGATAATGAAATGCTGAAACATTGTAATAAATATGGCGACAAAAATGAGGACAATAGTCTGAATAATGTAAATAGTGTACATAATACCTCATTTCAGAAATATAGACAAATCGTTCAGGTTTGTTTTGGTTTGTTTTGTTTCACGCCATATCAACCTCAATGGCTTATTTAATGCCGACAAGTTTTTTTTTATTGCTGGTATTTTTTGTTTTTCAAAAATGTATTGCTGGTAATATTTTTTCCTAAAATGTATTGCTGGTAATAATGTATTGCCGGTAATAATTTTTTCTTCAAAAATTTATTGCTGGCAAATTTTTTACAAAAACGTATTGGCGGTATTAAAATCTATTTTTACATTTTCATAGGGTTTGACCTCATTTTGGAGGTTAACTATTTGCCCATAGCTGGGACCCTAAAAGGTGCTACCACCCTGGGTCAGGGTAGACCTGGTAACACCAGCAATTAAGAGGTGGTTCCATGCTCGCCAAAACCTCCTGATCAGTGCCCTTACTACTGTATGTTTTACCCAGGATGCCGGATGTAGTTTATCGTCTTGCCCAGGACGGTATTCCTTCAGGATTTTTTTTATTTAATTTTACTCTTCATTTAGTTTCTAACTCTTTTCACTACGCTGACCTCTGTTTTTCTCTTCAACATCTGACTTAACCTATAGTTCTATTCTGAATTCGATTATTCTTTTAAATCCGTAATACTTATTAATGTCCGACAACGCCCTACTATTTCTGATAATAATTTATAATATATAAAAGAATTTCTGACCATAATAAAAATAATAATTAAAATAAAATGTCGAGTGGTAATTAGCAAGACAGTGATTAATAAAATGAACACTTGGGCGGTAATTATTAAATAATCTCTGTTGGTAAATAATAAAATTATCTGGCCAGTGGTAAATAGTCATGTACTAAGCAGTCGGACAGTAAATTGTAAAATCATCTGTTAAGCTGGAATTAGTCGGATGGTAATAATTAAAATGATTTGCTGAATGGTAAAGAATATAGTAAAATGATCTGGCGATTATAATGTAGATGTCCCGTAAGTAGGATAATGATTTCCACAAAGATCGTACAGTTGAACAATAAGTAGAAAAATATTCTTTGGGAATAGATAATCAGGCGTCGGGTTATGTAGTCAGGTGGTTAATTGACCGGTGGTCAAGTTGAACAATCATCGGTTATTAAATAAGTAGTTGTGTGGTACAATTCAGTCGTCGGGTGGTAAATAGCAAAAGAGATATCGGACATTTAGCAGTAAATTAATCTATACGAAAATATGAAGATAATTAATTAATTAATTATTAAAAATATTTGTATGATGTTAAATGAAGCAAGTATGTCGTCAGATGGCTGTTAGTGAAAAAAAAATTGTAGTCGGGTAAAATTATATATACGAATTTATAATAAAAAATTATACTATTGTAAATTGTCCGTCAATAGGTAGAACATTTACTTATACAAAAAATAAAAGTAAAAATTGGAAAAAATATTTGTATGGTGGTAAGTTGACTCGAAGCAATTAGTACATTTTTCTACACGAAAGTAAGTATTTGGTTAGTATATGTACGTTGGTTAGTAGTCGGTCAGTAAATAGATTAATCTGTGCAAAAGTAAGTACTCCAGCGTTTATTAGTAAATTAATTAGAT